GCTTCGTGTGCTACATGGAGTGTGGTGACTTGAACTGCTGCACATCGGTGCAAAGTTTTGCGTCGAAAACAGACAGTTCTCTAACTCCTGGATGGTAGTTGAATCGCACGAAGCATTCATGGTCTTTCTTCTAGACACAACCCGTGTTCAGCGGAAACTTTAGGTTGAATTCTTTCTCTTGTGTCTTTGGATCACTGATTCGTCTGAGTTTATGAATAATTCCCATTTAGACAGACATTAATGAAAATAAAATACGTGGTTCAAGTGAAGAGGTTCTTTGTCGGCAACGAATTTATTTTCCTCTACAGCTAGCTGTACAGTCCTTATTTATATACAATCTCTTGTTCATGATGAAAGAGGGCAGTAACAAAAGTGTTGAGAGTTGTCACACCAACATAGCTGTCGTTCATATTAGCTAGTGTATACGAAGAGTTGGAGTATAGGTGTATTCGAGTTACGTAATTATTATTATTTTATTATTGTTCCCTTGGGTTCCTAGTGGAATATAGGGCTTCAACTGCACGCCTCCACTTGCTTCTGTCTTCTGCTGTACTTTTCACTTGCGTCCATGTTATTCCATACTGTTTCAACTCCTCTTTACACGATCTCCTCCATGTCACCCTTCGACGTCCCACTCGCCGCTTCCATTTCAGGTTCCACTCGAGCACTGGCCTGACGCGCGATGTCACCCAGCGGCCTACTCAGCTCAGCGAGTGTCCTCTCCATCTCCACTTTCTCCTGCATATTTGTTGAGCGATTGGTTCTTATTATGTTTGTTCCCATAGTTTCTTGTTGGTGATCCTTTCCGGCCATCTGATCTTGAGTGTAGAACGAAGACAGTTGTTGATAAAGGTCTACAACAGGCTGTTGGAAATATTCTTTGTGACCCGTCAAGTTTCTTATCCATCCGTATAGAAGAACTGACTGACTTGACGTTTGTATTGAAAATCCGAATTTTGTTGTTGATGCAGGCTGAGTGACGAAGATTTCCAGATTGGTTTCAGGTTAATGAATGTGTTTCTCGCCTTCCCGATTCTCGATTTGACATCCTCGTCCGTTCCTCCTGTAGTTGAGACAATGCTCCCTAGATAAGTGAATGAAGTAACCTCTTTCAAATCCCTCCCGTTAGTGGTGATTGGCGCTGGATGTTGCTGCTGTTGTTGTTGTTGGTTGGTTATTTTCATAAACTCCGTTTTGTCTATGTTCACCTGGAGTCCTGTCTTCTCTGGCTGCTTCTTCGACCAGTTTGTCGGTTTTCGCTTGTAACTCTTCGATTTTGTGTGACATCAAACATAAATCATCCACGAAATCCAGGTCTTCTTGATTCTTCACGTCGGTCCAGGATATCTCTGTCTTCCCGTTTCCCACTGTCTGACGCATAATCCAGTCCACCACAATTAGGAATATCATTGGTGATAATAAGCACCCTTGTCTGACTCCTGTGTTTACTGCAAACGCCTCGCTGAGTTTTCCATTGTGGATCACTTGACATTTGCCGTTGTCGTACAGCTGTTGAATAAGGTTGATGAATATTTGGGCGAGTTACGTAATAAGATGGATAATTCAATGAGTGACTTGTGATCGGGATGCACATAGAAACGAAGGACACTATGAAGTTACATAAGAGTTCTAAAGAAATACAAGAGTCATAAGGAGTTAGAAAACTAACTAACAATCAAACAAAAATCAAGTCAGTAGAAATCAACAGGGTAGTTACCATGATAATAGAAGTGGTTGAATGGCTTTCTTCTCCTTGCATAGCTCCAATTTCTTTATCTCAATGACTAAAGCCTCAACAATCCAAGGAAATGGGAAGCATATTTTCTTTGGTAGGTTGCTTATCTCACTTTGTAGATTACTTTGAAGGAGGAGGCGTTTGTTGGGATGGAATGATCAGTGTTCACAAGGTGGTCGATTTGATGATAGTAGATGGTTGGAGGCGATCGGCAGGAAGCCTCTCCCTACCTAGGTTTCGTGCTAGTTGGTATTCACCAGTCAGCAAGGCGTATCTGCAACCTTGAAGGGACTCATGTCCCTTCTGAGATTCGAATCCGCGTCAACCAGTGCTGCAGTCAGAGACGTTGCCACTGAGCTATTGCGGGCTCGCAAATGACCTGTAGGACTGTAGTGGATACTTTGATAGGACAATTGTAACTAGTGTGATGTGTGCGTCTAGTCCTTTCTTTGGTGCAGACTGAATTCTATCAGTCCAAGGCGTCGGTGGCACAGTGGTTAGGACTCTCGCCGACCATGCACATGGTCCGAGGTTCGATCCCCTGCCGGCGCACACCCGATATCTATGGTCGGCCTGAATTTGGGCTACCGATATCCATGCTGAAAATTCCATACTTGTACTGAAAATACGGTGTGGAATCAAGCTGTAAATCAAAATAAAAAAATAAATAAAATCGTGGCCGATTGCCTCCAACCATCTAATATCATCAAATCATTGTACACCGTGATGGCGAGCTAGCTAGAATGGTGGCCACATTGGAAACCTGACTGACAGAATTCAGTCTGCACCGAAAAAAGGACTGGACACATCACACTAGTTACTAGTGTCCAATCAAAGGTGTTCGACTATCGCACTCCTCGTAGCGGAGACACTACTACCTTTCTGCAACTATGAGGGATATTGTTCTTGAACCCTTTAAGACGAAATGAGCGTTAAACAACCAATATGCGAGGCTTCACAAGAGCAGGTGAGTTGATATATGCAAATAGAAGTGGTCAAATACAAGATCTTGTCCTCAGATTTTCTGCAGACTAATGGACAACTAGAGAACACTACTCTGAGGATTGCTAGGAAGAATGTTCTTCTCAAAGATGATGAAGTTCTTCTCTTAAGGATACTTCAGGTTAAGTCTCCCTTAAAATCCAGGTTCATGTAAAGTTTCTTTTTCGGAAGAAGTAATATTTCGTTTCCCTGAACTTACGGTTTGATATTCTTCTCAATGAATCTCGGTAGGTATCCATTTTGGATGAAAATTTCTTTGAGAAGATCTAGTTAATTTATGAAAAATAACCATCCAGACATGAATATAAAAGCAAACAGTTCAGCGAAGAGTCTCTTTTTAACAGCGAATTCATTCACTTAGCTGTACAATCGCAATTATATATAATTAACTATTTGTTGTATGTGTGTGTGCATTAGGTTTGTAGGGTTGTTGTTTATGTCATCAAAATATTTTCAAAAAATATGATGAATAATGAAATTGTAACTAGGAAGGGGAGTGAAGATTAATAAGTATTGACAAGGGTTGCGTAATATGAAAGACACCCAGAAAAATGGGACTTTAATGAAACAGCATGGCAACAAGTGTCCGAAATAAATTGTGTAATAGGTAGAAAGAGTAAATAAAGGGTAATTTTAGGGAAAAGATGTTACTAAAATGCACAAAACAGTATTAATAGCAAGGTAGTCGAACTTGGAATTATACCCAAGGTAAAAGGATAGGATGGAAAAGTTTCTTCTGTGCACATAAATCAGGAATTTTCATCAGAATCTCTTAGGCCTCAACAATGCACACTATACGGAAGTTTACCGTTTTCGGGAGGCTTCTTCTGACTTTGTAGATGACTTAAAATGAATTCTCCTTACATATTGAGTGACCAATATTGAATATATATGTTCAATTATAGCACTCCTTATTCGTTCACTGTCACCTTTACGTAGTCAAGTAGGATAATGTTATTTGACTCTTTTAGATAAAACACGCATCGAACGACCTATATATCTGAGTTTAAGTGGAGTGCGTCAGCCGGAAATCTAACCCGGACGTTATATGTAGCTGGTAAGCATTCTACCACTGGACTGCTGATAGTCTAGTTTTTTTCTCATAATCTCACTAAACTACTCATAAGTAGTATAATGTGTGTACCGACAAATATTTGTCACGCTTAACTTGTCTTAATAAAGCTAACAATCATCGCTGGTGAAATAAATGCTAATAGATAGGAATTTTGTTGCGGTGTATTTCTGTTATCTCAATCTCATATTATTACTTTGGTATTAAGCTTATCTAGCAAATGAAATGAGAAGATCATAGATTTGTTGACGATACGTCTGTTGGCTGCAGTAATACGGACGGACTATATGCATCAGCCATCCTCACATTGACAAAATGTTTTTGAACACATCATTTAGGTCTTTGTCCACATATAGCTAGAGCTTCGGCTATGCATAAGTGGAGAAAACGTAAACTTTTGGAGTGATTGGATTTGGTCATGTAGATAACTTTAAAGGATAAATCACGTGTGTTGGTAGATGGGGTCCTGAATGACCTAACTCCAGAAGGCGTTCACAGATTGAAGACTTTTTCGTCGTTTGCTTACCTTTCATTAACCAAGCCGGGGGCGGGTAGTGTCCAGCTACGCGTTTAAGCAGATTACGCTTACAGCGTCCAATGCAAATAGAACAGAGTGGAGATGTGTTGTTGAAGCCGACTTATGTTCCACTCGGAACCCAAGGGAACAATAGCAATAAAATCGACCCAGTGAAGACAGCAGTTGTCGATAGAATTCTACAGCAGGCTACTGGAAATCCTGTTCACAACGCTCATACCATGGCTTTAAAGCATATAGAAACACTGACTTGAAAATCTTAATCTGGTTCTTCATGCTTAGAGCTTTTAATGGAATTCCAAAATGAAATGATGAGTTAAGTGTAGATCAGATGGCGCCAAGGTGGAAATCCTGTGTGTGCGGTGGAAATGAAAGCTTATGTACAACCGTGGAACCAGCTAGAAAGGACTCTAAATAAGAGAGTTAAATAGAGATGTGCTGCTAAAAGCCTACATTCCACTGGAAACCCAAGGGATTAGTAATGAAATAATAATAATATAACATAAACAGACACAGTCACATATGCTAGTCACGTGAATCTTTAAATTAATCGATTTCATTTCGAATATTGATCGTTTCGGATACATACATGTATATACTGCATAGTTGTCTGACAGAATAATACTATTAAACATATACAGCTATACAAGTCCATCATGCCTATCTCACCGTCTAGTATGCCTTATCCAACCCGCTTATCCTCCGAACCATCAAAAGATCTCATTGAAAAAGTATCAAGACGTTTATCAACAACTGGTGAAATAGCCAGGCTAACCGCTTACATTCCAGGACGTTTATCTGAATTGAATTGGTGTGAAAGTGTACTGGAATTATGTCGTGAATATGTAAGGAATAATACAGCCAGTGGTCTACAAGCTGGTGGAATACAAAGTATTGAAAAGCCAGAACCATCAGCAATACCAGTTGATGATATTGTCAAAGCGGTGACACCACAATCAAGACTACGTTTACCACAAGAATTGTATACTGAACTTGTGAATCGGATTATTGAATTTATTGGAGAACAACTAATTGATTAATTAATTGATTGACTAACTGACTAATACACTTTATTGACGTATTATTTTATTCTAAAATAAGACGACAATTCAGTTAAATTTTCTTTTGTATTACTTTTTCAACTGATTATCGCCATGACAACTTACCAACTGTAATGACCAAAAGCTACTTGTTTTGAATTACACGCAGGAAGTCGATCTCTGAGTTTTACTGTATGGCTGACGAAAACTTGACGAGTTTCTAGGACAAAACAAGTAATACTGTAGAACAAAATCATTATTATTATGTTATTAACATTCCCTTCGGTTCCGAGTGAAATATAGGTCGGCTTAAACAACATATCTCCACTTTCTTCTATTTTCTGCTCCACAAGTGCACAAACTTTCATCTCCTTCTCCAACTCATACGATTTCCTCCATGTTACCCTCGTACCGACGAACAACTCGTTGCTTCCCATTTGGATTTCACTCGACCAATGGCCTGCATTGCATGCCATGTCATTTGACTGTCTCCTCAATGTATGCCCAATCAATCCATCTCCATTTTCTCCGACATATTTGTTCAGCAGTCGGCTCTCACTTGTTGGTTTGTTCCACTGAAGAGTTTCTTTTTGCTAATTCTTTCTGGCCGGCCGGCCTGCTGGCCATTTGATTTTCAGTATGGAGCCAGCCAGTGGAGAATACAGCTGTTGATGAAATCCTTACACACACAGTGCAAGTTTCTGAACCGTATAGAAGAACTGACCGACTGACTTCACATTTGTGTTGAGCAGAATCCGAATCTTGTCCTTTATAGTGGCTGAGTGACAACAGAAGATTTCCAGGCTGGTTTTAGTTTGATGAAGTCGTATCTTGCGTTTCCGATCCTGGCTAGCTCACTTTGACATCTTCATCCGTGCTGTCCGACTGCCTGTGGTTGAAATTGTGCTTCCTGGACAGATAAGTGAAGGAGTTAACCTCTGTCAAATCTCTCCCAATGATGTTGGGTTATTGGTACTGGTTGTTGTTGTTGTTGCGGCTCGTTGGTTATCTTCATCACCTCCGTCTCCACCTTCTCTATGTACACCTGCAGTCCTGTCTTCAACAGCTGTTTCTTCAGCCGGTTTGTTGCTTTTTACCTGCCTCCAATTCTTCGATTTTGGATGACATTAGACATATTTGCAATTAAAAGTGTTCTCTGAGCTGGTTGGTTTAGACATATATCATCTGCCAAATCCAGATGTTGTAGAGTCTTCTTATCGGTCACTATAGCGTATTCCTTCCTGTCTCCTCACTCCCTACTGTTTGAACCATAATAAGTAACTAAGAATCAAGTAGAATATTTCCAGCAAAGTGGGATCAAAAACGCTTTCCACAAGAATCACACACTAATGCTTCCTACAGATATTCCAAAGCCAGGATGACTTTGATTCTTTCAAAACCACAGTCGTAAATCAATACATTATCATCAATATTATCACACAGCCACAAAGAGAAATATTTTAAAAAATTAGAGATTAAACAGGGATAAAGACAAATAATAAAAATCAAGTTAGAGTAATGATATACAGTCAAAGAGAAAAACGGATACTAATTACAGAGTTAGCGGAAACATCCAAATAATTATGAATATTGGGATTAGATCGTTCATCTGGAGGGATCTTTCAACGCCGATGATTCGCAAATCGGGGTGAAATACCTTCCCAGTACTCCCGAGTTTTCAATGGTTCTCAACCTGATATCAATCCCTGGTCAAACTTAGAGGGATCAAATGTTTTTTTAATGCTCTGACTTACTACTTAAATTTTACAAAGTAGCCTAGTGGATAACAAAGTAGAATTTTGACGTCTACTGACATTTTCGGTAAATATTAACGTGGAAATCTTTGTGTAACTGGATTGTATCAAGCTAGTAATCCTACCTATCAGGTTATTTCTATTTCCCCCAAAGAAATTGTGAAGGTTGATCTTCATGTCTTCTCAGTACGATCCGTATACATCCAGGTGGAGTGTCTTACATAAGACGAAACGGCATTTCTGGACTATACCTCCAAATGCCACTGCAGAAACAGTGTCAGATAGAAGTGGAGAAGATGCTAAGTTATCCATTCCACTATCTTACAATATCAATGGAATATCCAAAGTTACAGTCCTCTTACATGCAGCTAAAAATTTTGAGGTGTAGAATGTTGGTCACATATTCAGCAGTCCTCATAGAAAAATGCCTTCTAATTTTTATTTACTTGCTTCCTGATGTACCACGTAAAATTGGCAGACGTAACTGGAGCTAACGAGAAGTGGAAATCTATGTGATCTCGGCAGTGTAATTTAGCGTATCACTCATTAGAACATGAGAAATTTAGGGGATGGATAGATCGCTGATTCCTTCTCCAACTTCATCTATCAGTAAATATTACTGTATAACAACACTGTGTGAGACTTTATCAAAATAAAATTTACCCATAATGGAATTACACTCTACCACAGTGCCCAAGTTTTATTCTTATATCAAACATTGATTTCCTTGGTTGTTAGAAGAAGTCAGTCTATAACGGAGTCCAAATGACTCTAGTCTCGAACTTACCGGCAATTATCATCATTACACAGTGTTTCCAATCGTTGGAAAATCCATTCGATCCACAGTCTAAATCTGCATCACTATGTCCCAAACTCAGAGACACTTGACATCACAATAGGAAGAACTATAGAGTAATATCACTATAGATGACCATCTGTGAACCAGTCTGCGTATTGGTTTATTTCAAGCAGTACTATATTTTCCTCTCTCCCTCCCTTCCTGTTATGCTTAGGTTACTTTATCACAAATTTCATATGATAGTCACTGTTACTGCTACTCTTTTTATTCAGAGCAACTAAGTGATATACACAGTTTGAATACTATAGCTTTCCGTCGTTTTATATTACAGTATCCAGTCTGGTCTATTTAACTGACCTCACAGACATTATATGGTAGGTATTTGTTATTTTTTCCTTTAATTCCTAGAGGAACATAGGTCTTCAGACGCAGGTCTCCATTGCGTTCGGTTCTCCACCGACGTTTTCACCTAGCTCCACGTCTGACCACATGCTTTCATCTCCTCTTCACACGACCCCCTCCATGTCACCCTCGGACGACCAACTCACCGCTTCCCATTCACGTTCCACTCGAGAGATGGCCTGCCGTGCTATGTCACTTGATGTTTTGTTTTCTCAGAGTATGGCCACCAATCCACTTCCAATTCTTCCTGCATATTTGTTCTGCACAATCGTTTCCTGCTGGGTTGGTTCGTTCATTTCCAGATATCCCTCCCTTTTGCTGATCTTTTCTGGCTGGCTATCTGATTTTGAGCGAAGTATTGAGCAAAGACAGCTGTTGATGAAGGTGTGTAGTTTGTTCGAAGTGCCCTCCGTGAGGCGGCGCGGCACCATGTCTCTGATCCGTATAGTAAGTAGCACTGATTTGACACTGGAGTTGAAAATCCGGATGTTATTTTTCATCCCGAGTAGTGCTGTTGACCTCCACACAGACTTGGGAGAAATGAAGGCTTGCCTTGCCTTCCCGATCCACGTACTTTGATATCCCCATCAGTTCCGTCCACCTGTAGTTGAAACCATGCTTCCCTGGTAGGTAGGTGAAGGAGGTTGCTTCTTTAAGACTCCTCTCATTTATGCCGGCTGATTGTTGTCTGTTGTTGCTGTTGGCCAGGAATCTTCGTCACCTCTGTTTTCTCTATGTTCACCTGAAGGAAGTCCTACCTTTGATGCTTCTTCTACCAACTTGTTGGTTTTCACTTGCATATCTTCCAGTTTGTGTGAAATCAGACATAAATCATCGGCGAAGTCCAGATCCTGCAAGTTTTTTGTGTGGATCCATTTTATGCCTGTTTCCTCACTGTCCGCTGTCTGTCGCATTATCCAGTCTACCGCCTGCAATCAGGAAAAAAATCCCCTAGAGACAGAACAAAGATGCTTGCTAACAGCACCAACCAGCGAAGACTAGTTCAGCAGTACTCACGTTTATAGCTAACATATATTGGATAAGATAAATTCAAATTAGACAAAATTGTGTGCATATATCAGTTCACCTGTTCCTGTGAAGCCAGATATATTCGTCGTTTGATGCGCGTCGTGTCTAAAAGAGATCATGGACACTATCCCGCATGGCTACAAAAAAGTAAAGACTGATAACTGAACACCTCATGAACACTGGTCACTGTATCTCAACAAACTTCTCCTTCAAAGTAATCTGAAAAATACAGAGCAACGTGTAAAAGACAGCAGGATTTCGTCTCCTCTGAAGTGCTGAAGCTCTAGTTACTCAGACAGAAAAACCGGAGGTCTACATGTAAAAGAGACGTATTCAACAAGCTTCTTGTTCTCTAACAACTCGAAGTTTGTCTTTTGTTTTATTTTAGCTCTTTCTAACTCTTACGTAATATCATATTTCCCTTCGTTTCTAATACGAACTCTGAATACAGCTCATTCAATAGATTACTTATCTTATTGCGAAACTCACATACACACTTATTCAACTCATGTAATGCAACTATGATTATGACAGCTCACTAATTTTTTCTGTTACTAACCTGTTTTTAGTGACAAAAACTGGACACAAATGAGTTAGTGTACAACTAAAGAGAATGAATTCATCGCTGGGTTAAGTGTTTTCTCTTATTTTTCAAAATTATTATACCCATAGATACAGACATCATCGAAGTATTCATACAAGGAGCCAATCTATCAGCGGGTAAATCAAAATTGAATTCAGTAATAAATATTTGAATACAATGGAAAAAGAGAGGCATAATCAAGACAAGAGGTGGATAGGCGACTAATGAGTTAGTTACATGGCAATGTGGTGAGTTCAACTCCAAATCATAGAAACAAAGGAGAAGACAAAGTTGCGCCATAGCGAAAGGGAAAGAGGTTAAAACTAAAAATTACATAATCAAATGGAAAAAGCAAATTGAAGATGTCGAACTAACAAAGCAAGGAGATACATCACTCATAACTGCTCCTTTCTGAAGACACACACACAAACTG